GCTACTTGCCTTGATTTCTCTGTATGTTAGCACCTCTGGCCCCCTTTCTCCTGGGCGGGCCCCGCCTCCTTGGCTGTTCTGCTTCTTTAGAGGATAAAGAACCCTTGTCCCTCCCTCCTCTGCCTCCACCTAATTGCAGGTGTTTCCTGGGTTCAGCCTCCAGCCTTTTACTGCACATCCTCTCTGTCCCTTAGATGTCTCTCCAGGCCTTTCTCCCGGGTCCAGCCTCCTCTCATCTTCTGCACCCCACCCGCGACTCCCCCCGGATACCTGGACCCACCACCCAACCAGGTTCCCAAACTGAAACCAGGGAGGCGGCCCTCTTCACGTCCCCCTTCTCACACGACAACCAGCCAGACCTGGCCCAGTGGATTGCATCTTCTTTAATGTCTCCCACCTCTCACTCCCACCTCTGTCCCCTTCTCTTTTATTTCTTTTCTTTTTCATCTACATCTTTTTTTGGGGGGGGTTATTTATTTATTTATTTAAATTTTGTCCCCTTCTTTTTACTTTAACCCCTACACTGTCACCTGTCACCCTACTGATGCCAGAGTGATGTCCCTTCTGATGCCACACTCATGGTCAGTGCTCCCGAGGATTTTTTTCCCTTCTTCCATGTCAAGTTGGTCAAATCCTATTGCACGTGCATCCTAATGATGTCGCAAACCAATGCATTCTTCTCCGCCTCTACAGCCAGCGGCTGACTGGGTCCCTGTTCTTTCTCAGGCAGGCTCTTCTGTGAATTCCTAACTAGCCTTCCTGTCCCAAGTCTTCCAGACCCTTCTCCAGGGTCCCACGAGGGAGGCTGTACCTACCTCCTCCTCAGCCCCTTCAGAGCTTCAGCGCTGGATAAAGTTCACGTCAGCTGCAAGGTGTGCCTGGAGCTCCCGGCCGCCTGGCTCCTGGGCCATTTCTGCAGCTCCACCTCTGGCTGCCAGCCCTCCTCCCTCAGCTCCAGCCACACAGCGAGGCGTTTGCAGTTCAGGAAACTGACTTTGTTTTACTCCTCTGTGCCCTCGTGCTCACTACTCACTGCTCCCTGTCCGGGGCGCCCCGCCCCTCCTCTCTCTAGGGATGGGGGGGGACACCTACACATCTCTTGAGATTCCGTGGATTGTGTCACCTCCTCCTAGGGGCCTTCTCCGACGTCCACCTCCTTTTTCTCCTTGATTCTCTTCTACAGCACAGCTTTATGGTTTCCATGGTTTCTCCCTCCAGCTCAGTATCACCTCATTCTGCCACCTTCCACCTCCAGTGGGCTCCTACCTCTGACTTTCGGAGTTGTCCTTCATTCACTCCATCACCGGGCTAGGACCCCGGCATCGCCTTGGCCCTCACTCCTCCCCACCCCTGCTTCCCGGTTCACCAGCAGCTTCTCTGTCCGTTCTTCTGAAGTGGCTCCTGATGGTCTGTTCTGCATTCCTTCTACCCCACTCTAGTTCAGGCCTGGTTCCTGAGGTTGTCTGTGGATGGCGTTCTGAGTTCTTGTGGTATCGCCTCAGCCTGTGGACCTTTTGGTCTCATCACCTGCTATTCTGTATGTGTTAGGTTCCAGCCACACTGGACCCCTTACCAGTCTCTGAACAGGGCCCATAACTTGCTGCAACCAGGCCTTTGCATCTGCTCTTCCTTTACTTTTCTTTTCTTTTTAATAGAAGTACTGGGGACTGAACCTGGACCTTGTGCATGCTAAGAAGGCCCTCTACCACTGAACTGTACCCTCCCCCCACACCTGCTGTTTCTAATCCCAACTTCCATCTGCAAAACTTCAAGCCATCCTCTGTGGCACAAACCCATCACTTTCTCTTCTGAGACGGTCTCCCCAATTACTCTTATTTGAAATGATCTCTTTTCTCTGAACCTCTGAATTTTGTACTATTTAATGGTTCTTATTATATGTTGAATAGCATTTCATGATTATTTCATGTGGATGCAGAGATTAAATTATAAACTCTTCTAAGGCATGGATTACAAATTATCTATTTTTTAATCACTTCTCCACTATAGAACCTATAAGAGAATTTCAAAGCACAATTTCATGTGTGTGTGTGTGTGTATAAGCTTTATTGAGATATAACTTACATACCATGCAGTTCACCCATTTTAGGCATATAGTTCAATGGTTTTAGTACATGCAGAGTTCATCATCACAATCAATTTTAGAACATTTTTTTAATCACCCCAGAAGGAAATGCCACACACATTAGCAGTCAATCCCTATTTCCCTCTAAACTTTCAGCCCTAGGTAACCATGAACTTACTTTCTGTCTCTGTAGATTTACCTATTCTGGACACTTCATATAAACAGAATCAGAATGATATTTGTCCTTTTGAGTCTGGCTTATTTCATTTAGCATGTTTTCAAAATTGATCCATGTGGTAGTGCATATTTCATTCCTTTTTGTGGCTGAATAATATTCCATGTATGGATGTACCACATTCTGCCTGTCCACCCATCTATTGGTGGGTACTTGGGTTGTTTCTCCTTTCTAGCTCTCATGAATAATGCTGCTGTGAACTTTCTTGTACAGGTTCTCGTGTGGACATATGTTTTCCTTTCTTGTGTATGTACCTAGGAGTGGAATGGCTGGGCCAGATGGCAACTCTATGCTTAACATTTTGAGGAACTGCCAAGCTGTTTTTAAAAGTGGCTGAAGCTTTCTACATTTCCACCAACAGTGTGTAAGGGTTCCATTTCCACTTCCCTGACAACACTTGTTATTAACTGTCTTTTTAATTACAGCTACCTTAGTGGATGTGAAGTGGTATCTCATTGTGGTTTTGATAGCATGAATCTTTTTACTTATTGGATGTTCAATAAATATTTGTCCGATCAGTGATATTTATACATATGAACAAACAGACCTTTGGACGGGCTGTTTGGCTTCCAAGTTTGTGAATTAGCTAGAAAAGATGAACACGGTGCTCAGTATCATTAGAATTCAACTTTTAAAAGTTACTTGTAAACTGTTTTCTCTCTTTTTAGTTGCCTGTATTATCTAGGTGACATTATAAAGGTGATTTGTCATGAAAGTTCTTGTAGCTTTGCTGATTTCGATGTATTTTACAGAATAAGCTAGATTACAAGCAAAATTCCAACTTTTGTATGGTTCCTACTCAAAATCTACCACATTCATGAATGGGGAGACCAGGAAAAAATAATTCCTGAATGGGGACCTGAGGTGGGGGTAGGGGATAGACTTAGAAAAATGCAACTGCTGAAGTTTCTCTGGGTTGAGTTTTCCTCAGTAAACAGTAGACCCTGGGAAACATAACAGGTTCTGAAAACTCAATTTTGGTGACTCTGGACGTCAGAGAAACTGCCAGCTGAATCAGTTCCCTCTTGGGCAACTGATTATCTCAAGTCAGAGGTAATGGTCCAACTGCTTTTGCTTGGTTCTAGAGAGTTCTGTCTTGGCCAGAACCCATCCATTTAGTCCATCCCTCGGCAGACACTTCTAGCTGCAGCCCTGAAAGCCAGAGATCCACTGAAGGCCGCAAATTAAAAGCCTGTGATTGGGCTGACAACCTTCTATGGTGTGCAAGTATATTCAGAGGAGCTGGTGTGGAACAGGGTCAAAGGTCATAGTAAGTAGCTAGTAGCCAGCTTTCTGTACTTATAACATCATCTTGCTTAACAAGTCTCAAATGGGTAATTCTGCAGTATTCTCTGCATTTAGTTAAGAGACACAGTCATCTTTAGAGCTTGGGGAGTGTGTGGTGTTTGTTTTCCACAACCACAATCACCCTTATCTGTTCAAAGATGTTTCCAAAGGCTGACAACAGACCCCTTTCAGAAGCTCGGTAGGGAAAGTATTAACAGTTGGAACCATGTCAGCTGCTTTATGGAGGAAGCACAGCCCAGGCCTGGTTTCTCTGGGCTCCCGTGATAACTTGGGACGCTGCAGCCAGGGCGCAGCGTGGTGGCTGGGGCCGTGGGGACAGAGAGCTGCTCGGAGGAGGGCCCCTGCTTTTCAGAGTTGAAACAGGAGCCCTCTGAGAGAAAGAGATATTGCATGTGGCTTCCCTGATGCCTCGGAGGGCGACGTAGATGACACAGCATCAGCCGTGCCATCGTGGGGTGGGGACACAGTGGTGCCCCCTCGGGGGCAGCGCAGCCCCCGCTTAAGCATCAGTTGTGGAGTGCAGGGAAGGGAAGGTGACAAAAGCCGAATCAGCGTTGAATTTGCTGGACGGAGAACACGGTCCCGGGGCGGCAGCCCCAGAGCTAGAAGGACGTGCCCCAGCGAAAGAAACAGCCCAAAGTTGGGGGCGGGGTGAAGCGCCAGTTCCTAAATCTCCTGCCCCATCATCTACTCGTCCCACCTGGATGCGGAGCGAGGACCGCGTGGAAAGGGAACCGCGCGGGTGGGGTTCACCCTCCCATCTGCCTCCGAGGCCAAGAGGGGCGTCGCCGCGCCAGGGACCCCCACCACCACCACCACGGCACCCCCTCCCGGGCTCCGAGGCGCCCCTCTTGCGCCTCCGGGGCATCTCTCCCTCTCCCCCTCCTCCGTTAAAATAGTGAAACAAACCACGGAGTGAAGTGATGGAAAGCCGGAGGCGGGGAGTCGCCAGTAGTGAGGGGCTGGAGGGGAGGGGGCGCGGCGGTCCAAGAGGGTGGCCGGCCGGCGATCGGTGGGCTGGTCGGGATCGCGCTCAGCTGCCGCCGCCGAGACCCTTCCCCTGGGGCTGCCCGGCCCTCCCCTGGCCCGGGGCGCCTGCGGAGGGCGTGGGGCAAACCTGAGGCTGCAGTGGGGGTGGGGTGGGGGACTGCCGCCTCCATCCATCCCAGGATGGAAAACTGCGGTCACCCCGCTAAAATCTGGGCGGGGGCTGCAGTGGGGACCGGCGGGTACCGCGGTCCCCTCCACCCCCTAGCCCAAGCGCCGCCGCCGCCGCCGCTCAGTAACACGTCCCCAGGAGACTCGCAGGAGCAACACGTGATGTGTCTACTTATCAGGGTGAGAGGGGGAGAGCGAGTCTCTGAGCGTGCGGGCGAGGAAGCGGGGCGGGGGGCCGAGGCGGGGGCCGGGACGACGGCTGGGGCGCTGGGGTCGCCAGCTCCTCGCCCACCTCCCTCCCTGTGGGAGAAGAGGAGGAGGGGAAGTGACTGCGGAGTTGATGAACTTTGCACATCCAGAAACGCCATTTTGATTCCTTTTCCGGAACAAGTTTGCATCTCTCCTCGTTCTCTCCCCGAAGCCGACCGGTCCCCACTGCATCATGCCTGGGAGCCAAGCGCCCTGCCGGGCTGTAAGTACGCGCCCGGGGTTCCAGCTCGCTGTCCTTGGGTGGCAGCGAGATGTCTGGGGCTGAGCGGGAGCGACCTTTTAAAGAACTTTTGGGGATGGGGAGGGTGAAGTCTGCAGAGCGCGTTGTACTTTTTAAACTCAGCGTTTCCCGGAGTCGAGGACCCGAGCGCCCCACGCCGCGCTACGTGCGCTCGGGGCGGTGGGGCCGGCCCGGGATGAGCTGGGCAGCCCTCTCCCCTCCGGCTGCGCGCCGGGCCGCTCCTCCTCCTCCTCCCCCTCCTCCTCCTCCTCCCCTTCCTCCGCTCCTTTTCCCCTTCCCGAGCTGCCGGCTCTGCCAACCAGCTCCCAGCGCGAGCCACCGCGGCCGCCGCAGCGCCCCACCGCCAGGACCTGATGCGCATCCATATTAGCCGTCCGAGCGCAGGAATCCGGCCCGACCCGCGCCGCCGCGCCCGCCGCGGAATTTATTTTTAACCAGCACCACCGGGACTCGGATGGTGCGCGCACCGCCGGCCAGAAACATCTTCCCAGCGCTGCTCTCCATCTTCCGCCCTCTCTCCCCCGACATCCTCCCCCCCATGTGGGAGGGGAAACTTTTCTCCTACATACTTTCGAGTCCCTCTCGGGCCGAGGAGCGCGGAGATGACTGCACCCGCCCGCTACCGTAAGGTATCCCGGGGTGCCGGCTCGGGGTGCCC